TCGTTTCGTTAATATAGGAAAATTCCGTTCTAGAACTATTCCTAATTTATTGGTATCTACGTTTCTCATATAAAAGTTATAAAACCCATTTTGATGAAATTCAGTGGCTAATTAAACATAGATAAATAAACGGAAGCTGTTCAATTTTTAGAAATATATAAGTTGCCCAATTATACCCAAATGGTATGGTTTGATATTATGAAAAATGTAGTGTAAAACTCTTTATTTTATTTCACACATCAAATTTTATTTCGAAATACAGACGTTTGTAGTTAATATTTTAAAAGAGTAAAAGCAAAGGGTGTTCTATTATAGGGTGTATTTTTTCATGTAAAAGAATAAATAATAATGTAATAAGAGGGGCTTTTCGGCTTTGGAGTCGTCACAAGTTTATTAAAAGTAATGTTTTCAAAGCAAATTGCTTAACCAAGGGTATCAGCCATAGTCTTTAAAGTTAAGCTTTAATGCGTGTCATTACTTAAGCTCTAAAGTCGTTAATGATGTTGTGGACGACGAAACTGCTTCGGGGGCTGTTGAAATGACCTCTTAGGTTTTATGGCTAGTTGTGGGAAGGAATGAGGCAATTCTGATAAATCCTAATCCTAATTTTCACAGTTCAGGTGCAATACCGTTTATTGCATTTAGGGTAACTGCAGAAAGTCAAATACAAACTTTTAAAACCTAAAATGTAACGAAAACTGTCTTGTTTCACAGCCAGATATGAAATCCGAGAATCTATACTTATAAAAGGCCATGTTTGTGTGCGTGTGTGTGTCTGCGACGTCCAGACGAATCTATCGGACTTACAGACATGAAATTTGGCACACAGGTAGTCGTAATGCTGACTGACTGTACCTCGAAGCCAGAATTTTAAAATTTGATCTAGAAATTTTTTTATTTAGTGTTTTGTGTTCTTTTGGGTCATTTTTGCCACGTTTAGGGCTGTAGCATCTTTTCTAATGATCGCTGAAAAAAATCAATGCACCATCGGATAGAACAAACAATTTTCTTTCTAATCAAATTTGTTTTGAGCTTCAAACGTAATTTACTGAATTTCGAAATTTTTTAAAAAAATAGTCAGTTTTGCAGAAAAAATTTTGTTTTTGTATTTAAATTTACTGCATCCCCCGTTCTAATAAAGCTATCTATTTCATTTTTTTGAGGTAATAGATTGAATATTCCCCCCTTATTTGAAAGAAGAACGGTTAAAATATCTTTTA